CTGGACACTTCCCAACCACATGGGACTGGGGAAAGAACAATGATGATGAGCTGTCACTAATAGGTGGGAGCCAGGCTACCAGTGGGAACCACCTGGCGTTGTTGTTGTTTTTAGGTGCTGCTGACGTTGCCACATTCTGCGCCATCTCACAACTGCTGCTATGCTTGAGGCCACTGCTGCAGCCACCGTGTCAATCCAAGTCACTGAGGGTCACTATCTGGAGAGTGGACATATTATAAATCACATTGGTATGGTTGAAAAATGGGATATATTTTCAAATCCAATATTCCAGTGTTCAAATATTTAGGTAATATATATATTTTAAAAGAATTAGAACCAAATAACTGAGTATATAAATCAATTAGTCATTTAACCAATAATGCTAATAATGCCCATCGATGGAGATGAAGGAAGCTTTAAGGGGCGTCAGAAAGAATGGATTTGGAATATGGGAAAACTGGGGTTTGAAGTGCAGGTCTGCAATCTGCAGCAGCAGGGCCAGGGCAGACATGAAGAGACCGATCACATTTACTACAAAAAGGCATGGGATTCTGAAGCCACACCAACCTGGGTTTGAATACTGGCTCTGCCACTAAGGCTATTTTAACCATTCAGATCCTTCACTTCCTTACTGTTCTATGAGTGGTAAGATGATCTACAATCATGGTACGTCTTGTATCACATCATCCTACAAATAGTTTCTAGACAAAAACAGAATGAAGAAAGCTTTTATTCCTCCAATAAACCGAAAGACGTAAGATCTACAAAGTCTTCACCATGGCTGAGTGTGCCAGTGGGGTCCCCATCTCCATCCCTCCCTCTCCATCCTCTGATACACATGGGCAGGGCCCCCCACATGCTAAGGACACAGCCCACCCCAGCCCTTCAGTCTTCTGCCAGTGAGCCATGAACAAAGCATACACAGAGAGAAGCTTCTTTTTTTCTTCAATTTAATTGAAGTTACTTAGAAAAATAATCAGGCTTGAATGGCTTTTCCTGGAAGAAGGTTCATGAACATTTCACGCTTTTGTTGGCAATGTGGAATTCAGCTTTCTTGAACAGTACACAAAGCTACAGGGAGAGTTTTCTACAACAAGTCCTCTACTGCATACAAACATGTAAAAAAAAAGAAAAAAAAAATCATACTTCACAAAGATGTTAAAGTAAATGTCAATATGCCATACTAAGCATGCTTGTAAGAAAATAGTACAGGCAGCCCATTCTGCACCTGACAAAGTAGCAGATCAAAATTTGCCTGTTAATGGCCAAGGGTCAAGCTAGTTCTAGAAGGTTCTGTTGCTTGCTGATAGGGACCGACCAGTTATGATGGGGAAAGGCTGGGGGAAATGCTGGCTGTGCGAACTTGGGGTACAATGAGGTCGGTCCCACTGATGTAGAGGTGGACAAAGCAGGAATTTTGACCACCTGGGTTGCACGGAACAGGGCAGCTTTAGGTTGCGTGTGTGTGTGTGTGTGTGTGTGTGTGCATGCATAGGGGAGGACGGGACCAAAAGATGTGCTCTGGACATCCACCCACCAGGGACAATTAAAGGGTCTCTCTGCTTTGTTCAAGGTTACAATCAGGACTTTCGCACCCACTACCTCAGCAGAAGTCCAGGTCCCCACCAGCAAAGTGCTAGGGGCCTGCTTTTGTTCTGGGGTGCTTTTTAGTAACATGCGCTTCTGCTGTGGGGTAGACCCTTGCATCTCCATGCCTCTGCCACCAAGAGGATGGGTCCAGCAGACATCGCCACTGCCCCTTGCTCTCCTGTGGCGCCCAGATCCTGAGCAGGCAGGATGGGGAGCTTACCTGGTGGGCAGGGAGGAGGGAAGTTCCCTCTGACAGACCGCAGGTCCAGGGCTGCCCTTCTTCCCAGACCAGCTGGGGAGGGCTGAGGGGGCATCAGGAGAAGCTGCAGCAAGTCAAACCCTGTGACTAAGGAGAATTTTCTTATCAAAGGGCTAAGGTAAGCAGGTATGTCATTGTAAATACTAGCCTGACTATACCTGCTTTTTAAAACCTAGCAGCACCTTTGAAAAGTGGCTCGGAGACAGGACACCTGCCTGTACTTTTCTCCTGCTAAGCATGTAATAGAAAATGTTCTCGAACATTTTTCTTTAAAGAACATGAACTTTTGTTTTCCAGGCACATTTTCCACCAACGGATTTTTTTTTTTTTTTAAACCAAGGACATAGAATACTTTGTAGAGTCTGTAAAACAGTTGAATCAATTTCTTTTAAGAACTTATGCCATTAGAAAATAAAATGTGCACACAAAACAAAACATTAGGACAAAGAGTACTCTCATTTCAGAAAGTACTGCTGGAGCACGCCCTGAAGGACAATCTTTCTCACTTAGCGAGAGAAGACAGGTGAAAGAAGGCGGTGTGCACATCACACCAAGCAAGCTTGTACAATTGATCAAAGACTCACGTGGAATGGCGAAACGTAGAAAATCTCCATGAATATTCATTGAAAAAACAAAAAACACACAGTGAACAATTTTCAAACTGTGGAACTGAAAATGCATTCGTCAAAGGGTCAGACCACTCTGCTCCCAGTGAGCATCCTTTAAGGCTTGAGGCGTAGGGGGGCCATTCTGTGGCCTTATGCCCCACTCCCCCTCCCTCCCTCCCTTCCTGCCATCCACACCACACGAGGCTTTCACCCTCTCCATTTGGGAGGGATGGAATCATGGCCCATGGCAGTGTCCAGGATTAGAACCATTGCACTTAAGTAAAAGTTTAAGTCATTTGATAAAGTACCTCTGTTGCTATAAACCAGATAGAGACTATGGTGCTTGAAACAAAAAAAAAAAATTTTTTTTTAAGAAAGGGGATACGGAGGCAGTTTTTATCCTTGAACACCTAGGATGTGTGAAGTCAACCCAATCAGAGTGTAGTCTGAGGAACATTCACTCAATGAGATGATCTGCAAAATAGAGCATCCTGGTCATAGAAATTCAGGAAACGCTTGCTACTGGCTTGGTGAGGCTCTTAGAGATTCACTATGCATAGCACATATTCAAGGCTCTGAAAAGTCCTGCAAAAAGGGAACTGACTTCCCTTGCCTTCCCAAGAGTATTTGACCACAAAATCCTTATTTTGTGCCACACCACTTTCATGTCCCCCAGGACTTGTGTTCCATAGAACACACATTAGGAAATGCTGTAGAGCTTGTGGGTCGCCAGAAGTCCTGTATCTACAGACAGCATCTCCTGCCTCCCAATTCCAGGGACAGCCTGCTGTCTGTCACTCTACTTGGTAAATCACATTACATAAATCTCTATCCATCAAGGTTATGGTCACTGTGCCCTTCACCAAGGGGAGAGAGAGCTTGGCAGAAGGTACACAATGTTTTATAAATAGCTCCAACCATTCTCTCTGATGCACACCTCACTCACATTAAATAATTTCCTTGGTGAGATGTTGCAGCTGCTACTCACTGAGTTTGCTGTGAGTTTTACAAAACAATTGCAATAGTTTCTGTGAATAAATTACTCATTTTTGTTTGTTTAGAATATTCTTCTCGCCTCTTCGCTATATACTGCATTAAAAACAAAACAATAAGCAAAACTTACCCACACCCCATCCCACCCCACCCCTATTATTAGCACTATTATTATCATCATCATTATTATTGTTATTATATACAGTATCTGCTACCAACTCATTTACTAGCTGTAAGAGGGATGTGGCTCAAACTTCAACTGAGAGCTGTTGGAAATGGCTGGAAATGAGAAGCGTGTGTAGATGTTAATTAACAAGGAACAGGAAATTGAAAGCATCCAGCCTTTGAGAGGAACAGAGGCTTGGAAAGCTGTTCTTGCTCATGCATGGCAGCCACGGAGGTGTGGTTGGTCTCTAAGCCTTTGGGGGACTTGGGAGTGTGTGTATGTACACACATGCTCAAATAGCCCACCCTTGACCTTCATGAGGGGCATATGCAGCAGAGCATTGCAAATGCCCACACGTGTGAGTCTCGCCTCAGCATTTCACTCTTTTATGGGTCAAGGAGTAGAAAACAACGCATGGGGATGTGGATGCTGGGCTAAAGATGACAGCAGGAGGTGCTTGCAAATGGTCCTGTTCCCCATTCTCCTCTCAAGGCAGACATTGCTAATCAACACAGCACTCTTCTCCACTGTACCTGGCAAATTCTTTCTGGGACTTAAAGGCAGATACTCCCAATAAATGGAAGTAGGCATATGACAGGAATCTTAATTTTTTTTGGCCATCTCTTGTCGTAGGCGATGAGCTTGCATCACTCACCAAGTTAAGTGGCCTCCTCTAAGCATGCCATTTTCAAATGTGTGCCATAAAAGAAAGGAAACTTTCTAGGTAGGGGCCACAGACCTTCTGGGGTTGTTCATGTTAAGTCCATGAATGTCAACAGTTTATTAGCTGTCGAGTTGGATGCTCTGTGTAAAGCTTCTTGAGGGCAGAGGCTATGGGTTTTGTCCAATGTTGTATCCCCAGTACCCAGAATTGGGCCTAGCACATAGTAGGTGCTCAATAAATATTTGTTGACTATAAAGCAACGGCCACTTCACCTTCATCACAACTGGCACTGCCAGTTAAAAATTTTTGTGGAAAAGCATAATCTATCACACTGCTAATTCTGGTGAAGGAAGAAATGCTACAATCAGCTCTCTCTTTGGGTTTAAAAAAGAAAAAACAAAAACATTTCTTTAGTGCAAGGGGCTTCCGTATCAATTGAAATTGGTTTTGAACTAATCCCTTGCACAGATGGTTCTTTCTAAGCACAAGAGCAACCTATTTATTTCTATTGGAATTTCAAAAACGGTGGCATCAATACACATCCCAAGGGTTGTTACCACACAGTGACTCCGTAAGGTTAGTACGGAGAACATTCATTCATGCCCCCCAGCGGGCTGTAGTAAGCAAAGCACAAAACACAGATCTTGTCTGCAAAGACATTAGGATTTTTTCTGCCACTAAAAAACAAAAACAAAAACAACTATACAGAGACCTTGCTTAAATAGCTATAAATAATATTAATTAGAATTTATGGAATGCACAGTTCATGGAATTCACCAGAACACAAGGAAACCTTCAAGACAGTGTTGCAGAATTCACTTCTAAAAACAAGGATACCCATCCTATTCCCCTGCACAGACAGCTGTCCTTCCCTACTAAGGATTTTAAATAATTCTCACTATGCTGCTCGCAGCATCATCCCCAAAGAAATATTAATTTACAAAATAACCCAATATCCATATATTTCTTTTGACAAATAAAAATCTTAAATTAAACAGCATGATTCTCTCCCTCTCCCCATCCCCTTTATTCCAATTTCAGGTAGCTTGGCACTGAGTAATTGAACATTAAAAAATCGAGTTTGTAGACTTCGTACAGCTGCGTTTGGTGCTCCGAGCTGATGTTCTGGAAGAATTCTGTGGTCATTTCATCAGTAGTTCTCGTAGACTTTGCATAGGTGGGGAACTTCAGGTAGCTGCCCACTCCTGCCAGCTGCAGGACATAATTAGAATCCTCTTCCAGCGTCTCATACTTGCCCACGAGGTCATAATGGATGTGGCAAGGGTGGCAGAGAGAGTAGACGGTTTGCCAGTGTTCGTTGAACGGCTCTTCCCGCTGGGTGTGTGGGTCGATGAGATAGGCCACGAACTCCTCAAATTTGACATCATCCCCTTTGCGCAGGGCCTCCTGGGTGGCATTCTTCCGCTGGCGCTTGATGATCTTGGTGCCGTATCGCTTGTGGAAGGAGGTGTTGTACTTCTGGGTGAACTTGTTGCGGTAGGCGGACACCAGCCTCTCAAAGGGCTCACGGACAAACAGGAACTTCATGTAGCTTTTCAAGCGGTGGTTGATTTCCGGGATGCTGTACTGGTTCAGGGTCTTCAGGTTGGCGGAGACATGGGCCTCATTGGCCGGGATCTCCATGGGGTCACTGTACTTGCCCCGCCCCGTCAGGACCATCATGAGCCGCTTCCAGTTGGTACATGCCACCTTGGGCACGTAGCAGTAGATGAGCTCATGGTCCTCATCCACCACCAAATGCTTCAGGTCGTTGGGGGTCAGGACCCGTCGCTTGCGGCTCATGGCACTGTTGGCTCGGCATGTGTCTGTGACCTGGTCCCGCCTCATCTGGTGCAAAATGGCGCTGTTGGAGAGCTCCAGCTGCAGAGGGGACACAAGAGGAAGAAAAACTCAGTACCCGTGGAGAACGGTTCCACTTGGCTACATCTACAAGCACAAGCCATTGAGAGGCAGTCAACTAATAACCTAAATGGCCCAAGTCGCCATTTCTGATTCTCCATCAGCTGCTGCACATATTTATTCTTTGTTCCACCATACTTCCTTTGTAGAATAATGATAAGCTCTAACTTACCAGTCACATCTTTACGTGCCAGGCATTTTACTAGAAGCTTCATATATATATATATATATATTTTCTCAGTATGATAACCTTGACTGCCATTGATTTATTTAACAATATCAAACATCTCCTAGAGTGCCAGGTAACATGCTACTAGGCATTGGGGATACAGTAATTAAAAAAAAGTACAACACAGGAACTCTTTTTATGGAATTTACAATCTAATTGGAAGACAGATGGAACTGAGGTTCGGAGAGGTTAAGTTACTAGCTTGAGATCACATAGCAAGTAAGAGGCAGAGACAATATTCAAACTTAGATCTGCCTGGTACCAAAGCCACCCACTCTCTACTCTCCCCTGATGCCTAGTATTCCTATCTTCTCAGTTGAGGTTGGAAAAAAGCATTGAGGTAGTGGTGGTTTGGGAATATAGTTCTTGCCTTCCATTCAGGAGAGACCCAGGTTCAATTCCTGGCCGATGCACCTCAAGTACTGCTCTCACCTGTCTGTCAGGGGAGGCTTGTGTGCTGCTAATGATGCTGAACAGGTTTCAGCAGAGTTTCCAGACTAAGACAGACTAGGAGGAAAGGCCTGGTAACTACTTCTAAAAAATCAGCCAATGAAAACCCTATGGATTCCAACAGTCCAATCCCACTGCACATGGAATTGCAATGAGTCGGGGATGATTTGACAGCAACCAACAACAATAACAGCCTACTGGAGAATGACAGGAGGTGCTGGGGTCACCTCAGCTGACCCCAGCACCAACTGCCAGACATGTGAGTGAGGTTATCTTGGCCCCTCTGGCCCAGAGGAGCCATCCAGTGGCCAGAGCTGTGTGAGTGAGCCCTTCCTGCCCTGCTTGTCTTCCTTCCTCACTTGTCCGGTTTGCAGAAAGAGGCAGGCCAGTCGGCTGATTGCCAGGGTCTCAGCTACTCTCAACACTGGGTAAAGAGGAAAGAGAATTCCTTCTAGGGTACCCAACTGGTAGTCATGCAATCTGAGTCCCATAGAACATCTAGAATGTTCTTCCTCAGATGGATTATTTTGTCTTGCTGAGATTTTACCACAGGGCTCCATGCCTGAGGGCAGCAGGCATCAATCCAAATTCTCTAGTGATGACTATTTTTCAGCTCTTCAAGTATAATGGACACCACGGATATGCCAAGAAGTGTGGAAGGCAAGCTGCAGCATCGTCTGTTTTTCCCATGTATGAAATGCATCCGGATAGTAATAATACCCGACGTTGAGCTAGCCAGTGCTCATTCTGTGCCAGATATTGGTCTAAATGCTTTATGTTGATTAACTTATTCAAGGCTCTCAATAACCCAAAGGACAGGTATCATTATAATCCCATTTCAGGGCTGCGGATTCAGCAGGTGCACCAGCACACAAATAATATTGAGAAGCTCTGCAGAATTCTTCCCTAACCATTATCTTACAGAGATGCTTTGTAAAGCTGTGTTGGTCTCAGCATCCCCATTCTACCAATGAGGAAACTGAGGTCGAGAGAGGCTAAGTGACCTGCCTGCAGTAAGTCTACCAGTGAGATGCAGAACAGACCTAAATCAGATCCTGTGAGCCCAGATCCCGTGACCCACAGTGGCCTCATGTATTCACCCTGTCGACCATAAGTACAGGTTTTCCCCACTATTCCAAAGTTGAACATTCCTGTGAAACATTTCCTAAGCTGAATGGCATAAAGTGAAGAGGGAATTACCACTAATTTATGTGGGAAAAATATTTGAGCGTTCCCAGACCCAAAAAAGTTAACCTGCCAAGTCATGCCAAATAGCATAAAAAACCTAAAATGACACCAACATACAGTGTTCACAAGGAGCCCTGGTGACACAATGGCTCAATGTTCACCAGCTAATGAAAAGATCCACTTTGCAGGAGAAAGAGGGGGCTGTCTGCTTCCATAAAGACCTAGAGCCTCGGAAACCCCGTGGGGCAGTTCTGCTCAGGGCTGAAGAGTCACTATGAGTCGGAATTGACTCGATTTTCTGGTTATAGTGTTCACAGACCCAGATCAAAGCTATGCTGGCTTGATGCTGAAACGCTGAGTGTAGTTTCGGGGGAAGGAGCTTGGCTACACTCCCTTGCCACTTGGGGTATGCGCTGCCTCTTTAACCACTCCCTGCAAAGCAAACGCTGAATGAGAGTTTCATTTTTTGCCTCTTTTCACAAAAGCGAAAATTTTCTTTGGTTTTCTTTCAGTAAGCCAAACAGGTACTAATGTAGGTCTTTTGTAAAAGCAAAGTAGAACTTTTTTGTAAAAGCAAAGTAGAACTTTTTAAAACGAAGTTTTGAAATGCGAGGGATACCTGCGCCACCAAGTGGAGATTGTGTCTTTCCACAACTGTATCTCCACTGTCTGCAAAAATGCCAGCCACATTAAAAAAAAAAAAAAAAAAAAAGCCAAAGCAGTTGCCATCAAGTCACTTCCGATCCGTGGCGGCCCCGTGAGCATCGGAGTAGAGCTGGCCTTTCTCCTGGAAGGAGACCATCAAGTCTTGCTTCGGAAGTGTCTCTGGCGGATTAGAACCACCAGATCTTTAGTTAGCAGCTGAGCACTTCATCACTGATGCCACCCAGGGACCCCATTAGCCATACAGAAGTTGCTCAGTAAATATTTACAGAGAGAATGATAAGTTAGCTAATAATCTCTCAGGCTAACTTGATCTATGAGTAGGGAAGGCTTTTCTGTAGCTAAAGAAACTTCCCAGTTGTTCACAGATGCCAACAAGTTATTTAATAAGGACAAGGCTTCAATGAATAATTTGGAACAAATTGACTTTGTTGTTGTTATGTGCCCTCGAGATGGACCTGACTCATAGCAACCTCTCCTTGGGTTTCCGAGGCAGTATCACTATGGAAGTAGTATAAATGTATGAAAGAAGATAAGCTGATTTGAGAGAATGTTGTCATATAGAAGAAAAGAGAGAAGGTATTCTAATTGGTACGTAGGAAGAGGGCGAGATTTGGAATCGGAAGACCTGGGCTTGATCTTTGGCAAGGTGCCACCTAGGATACAGGGTTGTTGATTTAATCAAGCAAGGGGCCACATTTAGTAGGTAAGATAAAGCGTAGTCACTATGGGTTGGGTCCGACTCGAGGGCACATAACAACAATCACAACAGTAGAGATTTTGGACAAGGTACGGCACACAGTGAGCAGTTAATATGCACACATTCTTTCACGAAACAAGAACAATCCATCTGAAAAAGGTGGCCAGGAATTTCAAAAACAAATTTCACCAGCTCTATAATTTTGCTTCAGGCCAGTCCTAGGTCACTGAATCCAATCCACCTTTATTTTGAATAGGAGAACTGGTCTTCACAATTCCTGACTTCTTAAGGGATGTATTCTTCACCTTAAGAAATTTCCATGGGCTCTGGGACTATTAGACAATGCCATGAAAAAAATAAAATCAAACAAAAAAGCTGTCCTAGAGGAACTGGAAGGGCTAGCAGGGAAAAGAAAGGGCCAATCAGTTTTGCCCAGGTAAGTCTCAAAGGACAATTTTGAAGGCAATACATTACTAAGATGAGTAGAGGAACAAGGCATTTCCTATTTTTTTGAAGCCCATTTTAGCTGGAGACAATTTGCTGGCCATCTGAATCCCCAGGGAGGTAGCATGTCAGTTAATACTACATTCAAGACCACAAAGCCAGGAAAAATGGAAGTGATACCACTATGTCATTTTACTTCCAATTGCACAGGCAGAAAATAACTCTGTGGGGCTCTGAAATGCGGTATTTGAGATTTCTTTCCCTTCCACCTGCTTCTTCTCCATGGCAGTTTAGGAAGCAAATGGTACAGCTGCTGCAATAAGGCATCCACAATTTCCCTCCACAAGACTTTGGGGCACAGGTCAAGAAAATGCTTCTCAAATCTGAGACAAGTCCATCCTTCCAAAAGGGAAGAAACTGTTCTAAGCAGTGTTGAGTTTTTATTTAAAAAAAATTTGTTTTCCAAAACTCAAAATTATTAAAAAAAAAAAAAAAGGAGCCAGGTTTGCTGGTCTGATAGAGCCTGATGGAACCCCTGAGACTGTGGCCCCTAGCTGCCCTTCATGTTTGGAATTGAACCCATTCCTGTGGCTTCCAGCCAAACAAAAGACAGGTATATGAGGTGAGCATTTACAGCAGGTAGATACACTCCTTGGAGAGATGAATCATGGGAGAATAGGAGGGCTGTGTATGCATAGGGAGACAGCTCAGGGGGCAGGAGTGCATGGAGGGAAGGACACAGGGAAGAGGTAACTATGGGGAGGGAGTAGGAGGGGAGCTGGTGCATTGTGGGAAACTGAAGTCAATGTCATGAGGCAAAATGCATGTGGGCTGCTGTATGGAAAATGAATTTGCTCTCTAAACTTTCACCCAAATCACAATAAAAATTTTAAAAAATATATTTTGTTTTTAACTTTCTAGTTTAAAATAAATAGCTCTGGTGGCTCAGTGCCTAAGGCATTTGACTGCTAGCCAGAAGGTCGGTGGTTCAAACCCACTAGCCACTGTGCAGAAGGAAGATGGGGCAATTTACTTCCATAAAGATTTACTGCTTTGGAAACCCAACGGGGGTCGCTATGAGTCAGAATCGACTTGATGGCAGTGGGTTTGGTTTTGAGTTATTTTAAAATAACTTTATACTTTAAATGATTTAAATTGATGCTAATGATACTTAGCTTTGCATAAACAAGAAACTAGGTATATACAGCCACAAAACCAAAACAAATGTAAACATTCAAATTAATGACATTAACATGATGGATAGTTGTTTTGTGCTGGAACCAAAGC